AAGAGCAGTTGATCCCAAAAAACTGAATATTACCGGCATGACCAATTCAACACAAACGAAGAAAAACATGAAAAATCAAATACTCTAAGTCTGGTGCTCTGCGTCTTACCCGAACTCCCTCGATATTGACTACCAAGACATCGATTTAAAAGGCAGCATCTTGACTTGCGACAACTGCTGTCGTAATGGCCAAATCAATTTTCTCGCACCTGAATCCACCGAAGTAAAGGTGTTGTGTCCTATATTTAAAGTGTTGGTATCACTACAGGAAATTGTAGCCTCGATGCCCACAAGCACTCCTAAGTCGAAGTCTCCATAAAGATAGCAGTCCCAGCATGCCTATGGGCGTCATACGCCCTCTATCGTTTCTTGTTCCATTCGCCCGTCCCCCCTCAAGTTGTAGAATCCCATTAGAGTAAAATTCCCCCATGAGCCAAGACGCGAGCTTTCAATATTGTGACTTAGTCTCCTCATTTTTTTTTGCATCAGATTTTAATTGCGTATGCAGCTATCTAGCTATGACCCAATATCAAGGAAAAGTACAGAATAGATGATTCAACGTGAGGGTAATTAATTTCCTCATTGTGCACATACGCCGCGTCATAATTTTGTAGAGTAAGATGACAGGTAATCGATGAGGCGAGCCTCCTTTTGCAGTGCAAACAAATTCTTTATCGTTCGCAGAGGCGAGGTAATTTGTAGTAAAATCGAGTCGGAGGAGCCACGTAAGAAAGACAGGTCCGACATTGATGAGAAGTGGTCGTTTTTTGAGTATTCTTATATTTTCTTTCGGATTTGATTCGGATGCAATTCTGCTTGACTATTCCAGTAGTGATTAGAGCACAATGAGTAAATGCACCAGCACCGCTGGAATTAAAGAGTTCGTCATTGCCGGCGATTTATTTCTTTCTTCATCTGAGCTGCTTAACACGCAACGTTTAAACATGTAGACACGTCTCTGAATGGTGCGGACCATTTGGCTGGGATGAGGCATAAATATATGCTTACGTTAATTAACCTGATTTGGCCCGGTCTGGCTTGTTCCCAAGTTCCAGTAGAAGTGCGATATTTGCACTATTTTTAGAAATTGAAATTTACCACTATTACCAATATTCTTTTCAATCACCATCGACTAGCAATTATTTTCCAATTGCCTGCTACCGTAGGCTATCGAGATATCTCCAATGTGCGATTTCTCAATCATAGCGAAGGGAAAATCGAAGAAGACGCAAAGAGTGGGATAAGGGTTCAGCCACGTCCTCAATAGTTATTTCAAGATTAACTCAAAAAATAAGACTAAAGGATTAGCTGGGCCTAATAGCAAAATCGTGGACTCCATGAATCTTTAATTTAACAAAAGGGCAGTCGGTCATCTACGAGGCGGCGATGCAGCCCTCGAAATTTGCCAATATGTTTGCAAAATACAGCAAAAGACTATACGACTATTCTGAGTGCGACAGATGTAGAGAAAAGGGCGTGAGAGAAGGCGTAATGAAGAGAAGGGTTATCCTCCAGGGCTGCTCGCTGTTGTTGAGGCCGAAAGGCTCAGACTTCGGCACATATTTCAATCTTATTGACTGCCATAAAAAGCGTCGAGGTAGCTATCGGGCAGTAAAAACACAGGCTTTTTCGACCCGATGCAAGTCTATTTAGGAGCTACAATTGTATAGTACATCAATACTGGATCCAACACAACACCACCGACTCTCCCTCCTCGCCTGGTGAATCTACCCCCAGGAGCTACTTTGTACAGGAGCTCCTATTCTTATGCCGCCTAACCCTGCCCTGTAAAGAAGACCTGGACTATGATAGCTCGAAACGAAATGTAACTTAAAATAGTTCCGATAATTAAAGCCGCAACGCATACTACAGACTTGAATCCAGGAAAGATACTTTCAAGACGGTGGTAGATGATTAGATATTCCTCCATCTAGACGTCAGTTATCACCTGCTAAAATTTAACAGGTAATTATGCAGCATTTTAGCGGTGAATTCGCCGAAATAAAATCAACTTTAATCGCTAGACGTTCGAGTATCAATCACTGTCGATATGGTCACTGACAAAATTTTCTGATTGATCAAATTCGTCCCATTCGAAGTAAGATATCATAGGAAGTGCCGCTTAGGCGCGTCATTTCGTAATTGGCATTAAAATTTCCCTTGCAAGTCCACTCCTCAATTGAGCATCCGCATTTTTGACGAGTCTGACAAATCCCTTAACCTCAATAAGTATTGATGCCACCTTGGTCATTACATCGCTTGTAACTGTTCTTGCGCCCCAGCATGCCAGGAGTATGAGTTAACAATATACTCTATCGCAGAAAATTAACTTACCCCAAAGTGTCCCAACTATGGCGGTCCACATAGATTTAACAGCCGAGGCTACTTGGCTGGGCCGACTCGAACTAGCCCAGTGATCAAGGAGCTATTTGTCACTATTCGATAGCCTAGTGAACGAGAATTGGCTAGAAGTAGAACTATGGTAGGAAGTCGAATTGCCTCGAAAGATGTTATGATGTCGAAGGGACTGGGCTTCCCTGACTTGAATCACGAGTAAAGAGTGTGAATGGCGAGAACTATTTCAAAAAAGCAAATGATAGCTTAAAATCAAATTCCAAGTGGGGACTAACAATTTGGAGAAGCCAATCAGTTATTGAATTGCTCTCAGTGGAGATTGAGGAATTTTATCATTTGGAGGATGTGACAGATGACGAGATGCGAGAGAAGCGAATCACTTGAATCCAACTTGAGGTAACTTAAGGTAACTCTCCATTTTTCGGTGTTGTCTTGTTTTTCTGTTCTAGTCTACTGCAATTTTGGTGGCAATTCTTGCGTTCAGAATCGGTTGGGCCTTGGAATATGATCCTCACCGGCTACACTAGTTCTGTATCCACAGTGGACGTGTAGCTTTTAGTCAAGAGTCAAAATAATTCAAAAGAAATCTAAATAGCTCCCTGCCACTCTGGTATCCAATATAAATTTAGCAAGTTTCCCTCCGCAGGAACTTTACATCTCCTTACTAGTTTCTGATTACTATTGTAGATTGGGCAACTTGCCTGAACGTACGATGTTTCCATTGATAAGATTTACCCGTATTTGCTTTTTTTTATTCAATTTTAATCGCGTGTACAACTATAAAACTGACACAATATCAGAAAAATAGTACATAATAGATGAGCCAATATACTAGAACAGCACTCATGCCTCAGATTTCATTGGCAAGTACCACTACGAAGTTATGGCGGCTTTTTCATCACTCCAAGACAACATTCATCAGTTAATACCCACGAAAGAAAACGTCTCAAAAACCGCAATTATCCAGACATGTCTCCATCATCCACAGACTTTTCTCCGCGCGATATGTGTTCTAAGGTGTCTCCTCCCCAAGTGGAGTAGGTGCCTAGGATACTCTAACTATACCAGAAAACCCACCAGGAGGCGGACCACGGCACCTTCTATCGTTGACTTGTGTTTATATCGTCAACTGCACTCTCGCAACCGAAATCTTGGCGCGCGCAAAGCTCAATTTGTGAAACTCCTTGCCAAATTTCGAAATCTCATACCCGTCGAGATTGTACCCATCCTCTGGATCATCTTGTAGGCTTGTCCTAATTTCTCTCAATTCCACCCCAAAGAAGTGTCTCCCAGATTTGTGCTCCACAATTTTTATCCTTTTGCGAGTGTAAATATCGGCGTGAGCGTGTATTTGGTGGTCAGATAAAGCCTACGAGAGGAGTGGTCATTGAAACGAGGATATACTAGATCTTCCTTTTAAACTTGAAGAGGCTATGGTGGGAATATATCTCGTTCAGAATAAGTGATTGATTTGGTAGAGAGTCTTTAATCATTGCCATGTGGACAAGCGTCTTTAGTATTGTAAAGTTTGGCTGAACCTGTCTCCGAAGACTTCAACCCTAGATGCTTTGAAGAAACCACGGACAGGAGTTTAGTCTTAGTCCTTATACCCGTATATAATGTAAGTGCTGTCACTGTTCATTCAAATTTCAATTAATGTCTGATATTGCCGTTCTGTTTTCGTCGGAGTAGGTGGACACAATAAGTTATCACGTGATATTATTTCAAGGCAGCCCTTACGATACCCCATAAAGCAGATTGAAAGGCATAAACGTCTGACTTCGCGAAATCTTACGCCGTTAACTGCAAGCTTGGGTATTGATTCCACTGATTTCGTCGAGACCCTACTGATTAAGTGGATGACTGAAACCATCGCTTCTGCCCCTGTCATATGTTATGCCGTGATAGACTTGGTGTCACTGGGTTGCCAACGATTGTAGGACATGCATTACCTTTCGGTCTAGAAGCCAGGAATATCTCTACCTTGCCCAGCGTCAGTAATAGTGGTCAGGATCACAAGGATTGTCGGATGGGAGCGGGTGAGGGAAGCAAAGATAGCTAGCACAAATTTGTTAGCAGGCGTGACTCATTCTTGGCTCTGTAGATTCTCTGGGGAGAACTCGATCTTCGTAGGCGATGCGGTCAATAGATGTAAGGTCAAATTTCCCCACTGTTTGTTTAATTAGCGCACTATTTCCCTCCTCTTGCAGAAGCCCGAAGTCTATTTCCGTTACTTTACTTTCTGATTCCCTTCAGGAGCCTTGTGACATTTCTCTTGCGCGCTAGTCTCAATACGTCTAACTCGCCGATGCCAATTATGTGATAATATGTGGCTACGAAATAGTCGAGATAGGAGCATTGCGTATGGCTTTAGGCCATATGATATATCACTAGTGTATTCATTAAGCGATTATGTATATATTCTCATAGATACACCTACCATTGCATGCTACCGGATTATATTTATACTCTCTGTTTATATCCCTACAGAAGAGTGTTATATAAGTCTATTCACTGTCATCCACAGCTGATAATATTTTTCACTCCTCACCTCTCCAAAGTATACCTACCACACTGCCAATAATCACAACAGATCTACTAATATCTACAATATTGCAGCCTCGTTTTAGCCAAACATCTTTAAGATGATTGACCAGGCTCTTACCAATATCAAAGTCAAATCTCTTCCCAGAACAGCGAGGGGTAAGGTGAGAGACTTGTACGAAATAGACTCGGATACCCTCCTGTTTGTCGCATCTGATCGAATTTCGGCGTATGATGTGGTCATGGCAAATGTAGATCATTAAATTTTTGCACTCGCATGAGGCTCGATTCTAACCGTTACAGGGAATTCCATCAAAAGGTGTACTTCTCACTTGTATTTCTGAATTCTGGTTCAAACTTTTGCCAACCCTAATCCCCAATCTACGCACCCATTACGTCAGCCTGGACTTTCCAAGTAATCTTTTACAAGAAGAGAGAATGTCTCTTCGGAATCGATGCATGCAAATACGACGTCTCAAGGTTTTTCCTATCGAGGCTATTGTGCGAGGATATCTTACAGGCTCCGCATGGTCCGAATACAAGATTCATGGAACGGTACACAACATACCAATGCCTGTTGGCCTACAAAACTCAGAAGCTTTTCCTCAGGGTGCTATTTACACGCCCAGTACTAAAGCGGCCGAGGGAGATCATGACGTGAACATAACACCAGCACAGGCAGCTGAAATTATTGGCGACAAATACGCTCGGGTTATTGAAGATCTGGCTATTAAATTATATACTAGTGCTCGTGATTATGCAGCTACTAGAGGCATCATTATAGCTGATACAAAGTTTGAGTTTGGCTTGGACGAAGAAACCGATGAAATAGTTTTAGTAGACGAAGTATTAACCCCAGATAGCAGCCGATTCTGGGATTTAGACAAGTATAAGGTCGGACAAGAACAGACCAGTTACGACAAGCAATTTGTAAGGAATTGGCTAACAGATCAGGGCCTAAGAGGAAAGCCTGATGTAATTATCCCTGATGAGGTGGTCAAGCAAACGACGGCAAGATATGTAGAAGCATACCATAAACTAACAGGAAGATCATGGGAGAGTATCATCTCGAACAACTACAGTGAAGGTAAGTTCAGTATATAGATATTAATTAATATTATTTAAGACTAATTTTCTTTGTACAGCAGTGGCAAGACATTAGTTCACACTCTAGTCCTCAATATTTTCATGCAGATTCCTAATATAACCATTCAGCGAGAAAATAGATGGTGGTTGATTAGTCTACTTAAAACGTTCCCTTTATCTTCAAACTCGAACTCAATTTCTTATTTATGATTATCATTGTTCAATGATTTAACGACCTTATGATCAATTACGTACTACCTCAGGGTTGATGATTAGATATGTTGATGAGTAATGTGGTATCCTTTCAGGAATGGCGTTATGCGAGGGGTAATAACAGCTTATATGTGCCTGTTACAGCAGGAAAAAAGGGAAAAAAATATGTGTGCTAAGCTATAATTTTAATTTGATTTCATTCAACCCGTTCAAGTACCCTATGGGCCCTTGCAGATATATCTAGGTATAATATTTACAGAGGAAAACAATTCGGTAAAAACCCCCAAAACTGTCTGTCTCATGTATGCATGTGTTTATTTTCCTGTAAATTCTATGACTATGGAAGGACATGTAGGTCCTTTCTACCTACAGGCCGGGAGTATCTATGCCTCGAGTAGTATTCTCTCTCCTATGCCTCCTTCCCGACTTCTTTCTAGCAGTAATACCCCCACAGGTCTTCATTCGAGTACACACTAAGAGGAGCCTTTATCCTTTCATTATCTTCCATCTCCAGCCAACGAAAAGATAATCTCTTTGGAGGGTGCAGCTGCAGGGAAAAGTCTCAAAAACAACTGGGTACGGAGCTCTCCTATGACGAAGAGGCCGGATAGCCGGGCGCAGCAGACCTGTGTATACCTAAGAGTGTCTCTCAAACTTCCTAGCCTCCTCCTTACTCCTCCCCTGATTCATGCCGCAGGTAAAACCGGAAGTCATAAAAAGATGCTAGAAATGTCTTGCTCGAGGGTGACTGCCGTGAAGGAGGTTTGCCTAGCGTCCAAAAGCCGATACAGAAGTGAGCTTGTCGAATAACTTATGTACTTCAGATACCCTCCTGGCTGGTAGATTCGGAGTTAAAGGATAGAAGAGATGATATAACTGACGAGTCGAAATATGATTTTCCATGAAGACACAAGCGTGCAATACTTTGTTTTCATGGACTTTTTATTTGCCCGCTGGTTGGTAAGACATGTTGTAATGTGATGAGTGCTTCTCTGACTACCGTTGGGAGATTATTCTCAACACCTGTCAGTAGTATCCCCTACGGACCTCCAGCTTTCACTGTAGTCTACAGAGCCGAGATTGAGTAACAAAGTCCTCACTTTGACGAGGATTCCCAATCGCTTTCGCGGTCTGTATCGTCTTCATCTCTTAACATATCCCCCCATAACCACTATCATGGAGAAGAAGCCATCCGATGAGTTTCCGGAGCGAACCCAGCACCCGATACGGCAATGGTGGATTTGATCAAGTTGACCTCTAACAATGGAAAGAAGGGAGGTATAGATGGATATGCGCACGTCATGTGGTCTCGGCGTCTAGGCCTCCTGTTGTGGCCTGAATAATCTGGCCTATGTTAGAGACACCAAACGGGATATTCGGTCACCCAATACTAACTACAGATATCGGGAAAAGATCAGCTCCAATGCCGGCTTTCGGAAAATAGTAATCGTGTGCTTCACGAAATAATTTTTGGATCAGTTATTAATACAGGCTTTCGGGGATGATAAGAATATAGGATATGGGAGCGCCCACATTATTTTCCAGATTTATTACCTGAGGAGATTAACAATTTAATTCAGATACCCTCATGCGATTGATGGTTTAAGGACTAGTGGGAGATTGCGTTAACAGATTGCTCTGGTTATAAGAAACGGAAGAAATGCCTTACCCGGATGCTCAGCTTCGCAATTTATCTTTTTCTCTTTTTTTGATCTTTATCATCTTTGGCATTCTGCTACTATAATTATATCTTCTTTATCTATGAATCCTTAGTTCTAAACCTCCATTGTGAAACTCGATAATCACCCTATACACCTCGAAGACCACAGATTCTAACCCATGTGGATCTCGCCGTACCAATAAGAGCATTGTACAAGGTGTGGCTTGGATCAGAGAGGAGCCTAACCTGCTAGATGAACATGGACTCAAGTGGTACTATAAGCAACAGCTGACGTTCATCCTACTAGAGAGTTTAGTAGGCACTGGAGGTCCGAGCTTTGGCTCGGCGCTCCAAAGGAAGTTCAAAAATAAACAAACTATTCATCCTTCTGTCCCTATTACCTATCACAATCCTGAGTGACGATAAGTTCGTATTTGAAGGTTTATTTGTACGGATCAATAACTATAGAGAAATATTAATAGGTGATGCTATCATCATCTTTATCTAAGTACAGAATACCAAGTTCCTTAATTAGTTTCAGAAAAACCCCCATATTTCGTTCAAAAAGATCTGTTTGAATTCCGCTACCTTGAACTATTTCCAACATTTTGGCACTTCGCGACGTGTTGAAACGGTTACATTTGACCACTTCAGCTCCCATATCCTCCATCTTGTGCCATCCAAAAATAAATTTTACAGAGCTGAGGTAGAGAAGAAGTAAAATTGCGATTCACGGTGTCAAATTTATGGTGAAGATAATGTCCAGCGCTACGCAGCTTTCTAGGGAAAAATATCTTTTAGACTCAACAGTATTCTTGTAAGAAATTAATGTCGACTTTAGTTGATTTAAAATGGAAACGTATATGTACATTTTTATACAGTATTGCCGTAAAGTTGGAGTCCTATTCTACAAGATTGTCGTATCACCAAAACATTGAACCTCCGAAGTCAACTCCATACGCCCATGCCCCCCGTTCGCTTAAATTTCCTATATTATTATAATTTTCAAATTGTGATATTTTCCGACATAGAAAGATCTGCGGAGTCAAGTTGGGATCATTTGAGGTAGATTAATACGTAGTATAAGATACTACATCTCAGTTTCTAACACCTACAATGACAATATTTTTCGTAACGTTCGGGGGAAGTCCTTGAACCATCCTCCCACTGTAAGATTAAAGGACTTGAATCAAAGCTGCAGGTGACCATAATTTTGTGAAGTCTTCCCATATTTTTGATTCTTCTGGCCTACCATGTTTTGTGGGTATATTGTTAAATACACAGAGAAAGTAAGTTTTTTTCCGGCTAATACTAAAATTTCTGACTATTACTCCTGATTTTATTAACTGATATTTGGCAGTATACCATAGGTGGGGCTAAGGTTTTGTTGTTCAAAGTTCACAGGTGATCCAGTATATGAGTCCCAGTGACCTGTGGAGGAGACAGAGTAACTGACAATTCCGTGGCCGTTCATTTGCATACTCCAAGTGGGATGTTCCATCAAGTTTTGCGAGCAAAGACTTTCATCTATGCCTCCGAAGTTGCTATAAAATTGGCCATCTTGCTGAGGAACTAATACTCGTTGATCTGGAGGGCACAAATAACTTTGGTTGTAAGGCGGTGCTTGATGATATATGTTAATGGGCGTTACAGGGCTTATTTGGTTACATGTAGGAGATACAATATTTATATCTTGGTTTATTTGCATGCATAATTCGGGAATTAGGTTTGTGACAAGAGGTGCAGGAGGCGACTTTTTGATCTTCTTGTTCGATTCCAGGGTAGCTATATTTATATCAGACTTGTGGCCATCAGAAGCTTGTTTCTGATCAACCAGGTCCAATCCTTTTTTAAAACTCTTCCCGCATTGAGATGTTGCTTTAATATTCGACAGATCTACATTTTCTGGATTGATGATACCGTGGGGATACTGATCAAACCAGTCGCCATAGTAAATAAAATCGATTGAATTTTGATCTGGACCGTAACTTGATCCATAAGTGTCTACGCAATCTCTATACTTTTTTTTGAGTGTTTCATTCATCCAATCAAAAACACCCCAGTAGTTTTTTATTTTAACCAAATGCTTTACGCTTGTGGACAAATTTAACCTGGACGAGATTTTTCTGGAGGAGTCTCTTGAAATAATCCCATCTATATGAATAGTACCTGCAAGAAAAGCACAATATCCAATGAATGGAGCGGTGAGGAAGTGTGATTCATCAGTTCTCAAAAGTTCGGATATCTTATCAGCGGCCCGAAACATTTTACAGCTTGTGGGGTCGACAACAGTTGCTGAAACGGTAGTTTGGTGGGATCTTCTCTGTTCAGAGAGAATGAGTCTATTTATGAACAATATGTTCTGTTGTGCAAAGATGTGAAGGGATAAAAATCGCTTTGCAAGATGTTTTGACTCAAAAACCCGAAAGTTCTCTGGTGTAAATTTGAGTCTATCGGGAAGCGTAGAAGCAAACTCATCAACCTGCTCAGCTAGCCTATTATAATAACCTGAAACAGATGAAGAATTGTTACTCTGAGGATCGTTGGCAAGGTTCACGCATTGATTCATGCGACCCCACAGGGCTGCAGCACGAATTAAATAAGCAGATATTCCCATGTTAGACCGTGCATCTATCGGCCCGCAATTTTTGGAAGGTATTGGGCTTAATCTTTGTTCATATAAACCTTCAGTTATGCCGGGTATGTTGAGCAGAAAATTATGTTCCTTAACAGGCAAATCTAGACTGATGGTGTCTTCTCTGATAAATGCTGGTTTGTCTTTGCTAGATGAGTTGAATCTATCCATAAGAAAACATGCCCACATAATTCGCTTTCTAGTCTCTGGACCAATAAAGTCCGGTTCACTGATATCTTCTAAGTTTTTTTGATCATGATTAATACCTCGATGTAGCTGTAAAGCATATGCCATACGAATCGCCATACCGCTTAATGACCAGCTTCTTCCACCTTGACAAGTTCCGAATTCATGTAGACTTAAGATCAGGAGGCAAATCAAGATAGTTATATTGGGCCATTCATATCGGCGCATCACGATTGATCGGGATGTGGCTGCCCACTCTTCACCTCTAAGAAAATTCGGGGTGGTATTTATTTGTGGATGCGTTGAGAAGCGGGCGGATACAGCACAGACAGCTAGAACCAACACTGGTGCAATGGCATTACGTCTGTTGATAAGTTAGTTGGATTTACTTGAAATTAACCTTACGCCTACCTCAAGTCACTCATGAAGGTTGGTTTGTGAAGTAAGTTATACACATGGCCCTCAATATTTTCAAAGAAAATTTCTGCTAAGTGTTCCTGAATGTCTTTACTAGGTAATTTATCTGCTCCCTCTGACATGAGCCAAATTTCCTCCGTTTCTAAAGCGACTAAAATTTGGCTCGATTCTTCCTCGATTTTAGCATGCCCTAAAAATGGAGAACGTGACCAGATCTCAAGCTCCTGTTGGTTTTCATCGTCATAAAAACATTTTTTGAAATTAAAACTACATGGAGGCGAAGCTCTATATTGTCTAAATAGTGAATTGACATTAACATCTGGAACTTCCCCGGGGAATGTGTCGATGATTTCTTCTTTCGAAAGTTTTGGACGCTTTTCAGCCGTAGCTACAAGTTCTGCTCGAGGAGCAACCTTTCGTGTTGCAACCTTGTAAATGCACGGTATTTTTGAGCGAAGGCATTGCTTACAGCTCGGCTCCTCCCCGGAACATCGGATTTTTCTTCGACGACAAGTCACGCAGGCCAGAGGAAGCCTCTTACGTTCTTTGCCTGCTTTAGTCTTAAGCTCACTCCACTCTGGTATAGGGTGTAATTTATCTTCTTTTATAAATACTCCGAGTTCATCTCTCTCAACCAGTCCCACACTTCCCACATGATGCTCTTGCCTGCGAATTTTAGGTATATTTTCATATTGATTCCCAGTCAAACTTCTCTTGCGAGACGGATCTCGAACCTGGACTTGTTCATTATTATTCTTTACTTGTGTCAGGCTCTCTTGGGACAAGATAGATGGGATCGAAGTCATTGAGCTTGCAATGTCGGAATGAGAGCTCACTGAGCCTCGCTGTCTCTGTAGATGAATGAGATCATAATCTTGTTGATCAAGGTCAGGGTTTTTTACTGTGAGACTATTGATATTATTACTGTGTGGATTGAAAGGAGTACTTTCTATCTCAAACGTGCCACTTATCGATGCCTGTGCGCCTTGAAACCCAATTTGCGTGAAATTAGGATAATTAGAATATCCGGGCGTATCGAGAGGGGGAGTATGAAGCTCCACACAGCCATTGTGCGTTCTTCCCATACTTAAATGTTGCATACAAATTCCATTATTGCTCTGGATTGCTGAAACTGTGTCCTCATTTCCTTGCGCTGACTGTTTGGAGGTCGTATGAGGAGCCAAGTTCACTGAGAATGGAACACATGGCATCGTCCTTTGCCTCGTTGAATATCATGTAGTAAAGGCTGTTTTGGCAGAGAGTAAATCCTTCTGGCCAAAATATTTCGTAATAAGTGGTGGGTAAATACCAAGAGACTTTTGTTTCAAGCTGGGAAAATTTATCAATTATTATTTCTAGATCTGATGGCTTTGCCAATAAATAGAATAATGGCTAGCAAGACACGAGGTTCGCCCTGACGTATAAATGATTCCATAAGCGGTATAAGATTGATTCGAGTAAGATAAGGCAGCATTCAAAGCGGCTGAAATAGCAAAGATGAGGATTGGCTTCTATGGCCAGTGATGATAGCTTGAGTTTGTTGATGGTGATAATAGTGGTATACATCACAATTGCATGCCTGAAGCCAAGGGCACAGTTGGAGCATGAATCAATAGTGGCCGACATCTATTCATGGCCCCGAATATGATGACAGGGGAACAGATGTATACTGCCCTGGGTGAAAAGCCGTCCACTATGAGTGTTTATTTGGTAGATGAAATTGTCAGTTGCTCCCCCCTTGCGTGTCCAATTCATCTAGAACTTTTGTGGTTAGTACCTATTAATAGACTGCAGAACCTGTGTTGCTCATCGCCAAATATATCCTTATGATCACGGCACTACGAATAAAGTGATCGCTAGGAATGCTCGCTGCTTGTATCTCTGCACGAGACGAACATAGATCTCGACTCTGAACCAACTTGGACGCTGGAATGCAGCTATGTAGGTATGCTTATGAAGCTGATCTATGCCCTTGTTCGCTTCCCTGGTGTTCTAGAAGAAGTTTAGGGCGATCAAAGCATCAATAATAAATTATGGGTCTGCTGGGTATTTGGAATATCATGAGAGTTGGGTACTGTCCTTTAAGTTACGTGGCTTCTCTTATGACGGTTCGTACTTTAAGATCCAAGCCTCTCATTGTATCTCACGTCAAGTCTAGAAATGAAGGGATTTGTAGATCCCAATCACTAAGCTAATTAGCATAATAACTGACCAATCGGATTAGTTAACTGTCAATTCTAGATGTAGAACTGACAGGTAAAGTATTTTTTCTTATTTATATATCCATTTATGTCCTATTTGAGTTTCCAACTATGTAGGACAGAGCATCTTTTCTTAGATCTTTAGATAACTTAAGTCAGATTAGGGGAAAATTAAGCAGTTTTAGTATGTCAGAGACGGGAAAAAATTTTGTCGCTAAGAGTGAAGCTGCTGCACGGAGTCAAAGGCGGTTATAAAATGTGAATACACAGTAATGAAACTGTTCGAAAGTCATTCGCCGCACTGGTTTGTTGTTTTTATTTGTGAGATAGCTTACAAAATCATAAAGGTGTGCCTTTACTTAAATAATCAGTTATTGTCGTGAAAGCTTGTATTTTACAACAAATCACTTTACCAAATAAAAATTATGCAATAATTAAATTTATATCAACTATGACCGGCCCACACTAGAGTGACACCAAAGAAAAAGTACTTAATTTAGAATGAAACAGCTAGGATGCCGAATAGTTACACATTTGCAACTTCTCGCACAGATACTGGGACACTTCAGCCGCCATTTTCGACCCTAAAATCCTTACGGAGTAAATTATTGACTTAGAAACAAGTCCTCACAGAGTTTTGGACTACGAAACACTGCTAAAATATAAAATTAACAAGTCTCTTAATTAACAGATATATTTCTTCCACATGAACAAATATTTATTTGATTTCTCTAGGTTAACGTCCTATGCGGTATATATAAACAGAACCATGTACGAATCCTTTTTTATTATAAGGATTTAGAGTCTCAGGGGCAAAGCAGTAGTTGAAGGTTATCCCCATGGCTAGGTTGTTCTCAAAAACTATAATCAATGTTAGATTGGTTTCCTAATTTTTTCTGATAAAACTTCATGTATACCGAAGCTCTGTAAGTTTTTCATTTACCATATCTCGCCAAATAACCTGCATCCCCAAGTTTTTTTGGACAGTTCTCAGTGCGTTTATCGGCCTACACTTAGGGTATTCAAGAGCTTAATTTAAGTAAATATTTTGCTACTAGAGTCATAACCTATTTAGCATGTTGGGTTCCTTCTGAACAGACTACACTTTTTACAGTATCACTATGCTTTTTTACAAAAAATATATCTGATATAAAGGCAATGATGGATAGCACTTCATCTCAGTAGTTGACTATAGAATTCAGCTAATTTTTCCGCGAAACCTTCTACTCAATAAAACTCAATTAAAAATATATAAAGATGGTGATGGTTTTTTGTTTTGTTTGTTTTGTTCATTTACGTGCTAGATATAGTGATTCCCGTTGCACTTCTACTGGATCTTAAGCACGGGTGGGGCCGTGCCGGATCAGGTTGACTACCGTAAAGTACAAGTGCCTCGTCCCACCTGAATGACTGGACCACCTCAGACTTGGCCCATGTATTGAATCATGTCAAGCCCAACCGTCCATAAAACCCCCTTTTGGCGCGCCGAAGCGCAAGTTCTTTTCAGCCTCGGCCACCACGCGCCCGAGCCCTTGACACCTTCGCAATCTGTAACTTTTTCCTTCGACTCATTCCCAGCTTAGGCTCATCTCAGCATCTCCTCATCTCATCCAGGTGTCATTTTCTTCACTGGAGGCCTCATCCAGATAGTTGTGGTAACTGCGTGTGCTGGAAAAAGTCTTAAAACCCCTGCAGCCCTAGCCAGGCGAGGCCTAGACACCTGGACCATATGAAGTGTGCTTACCCATCTAAATCTCTCTTCTTCGTAACATTAGGGGCCAACTTGAACAAATCCACTATTACTGTATCGGGTGCTGGGTACGCTCCGTAATCTCATCGGATGGCATTTCCTCTGTAACTAAGAGTGGGTGATGAGAAGGGCTCCGACCCTGCCATCTGATCTAACCGTGGTTAACTTCATGATGCTGGTGATAGAGAGTGGTGTTGGGTGATGAAGATGATACAGACCGTGAAAACAAACAGGAATCCTCATGGAACTGTTCACATCTAACACGCCCCTTCTTGTATGTCCAAGTTGGATAGAGCATGATGAGTGTTAGACCGGCACCACTCCAAGGTGAGGTATGCGTCTTTGCCAGCTTTGGTGAGTTAGCTCTTGCGAAACCTAGAATTCTTACAGGCTAAGTAATTAAAATACCACTTCCCAACACCTATTACGAACATAAAATTTTGTTTTGTTGTTACTGCGGGTTGGAGATTGGGTTTCCTCAACGCTGGACGGGCAGCTGAATTGGAGTTTGTGTTTGCCAAATCATTGCTCTTACATGGTAATTGCAAAGTTGTGCACGGCTCAAAAGATTTATTCAACACCCTTGCGCTGATTAATTTACACGATCACTCAAGGGCGCCGACGACATATTGCATAACCTGGGGTGCAGGTTTTGACAGGACCTTGATTAGCTCATTCTGGAACTATCATTATCCCTTGTGGCCTCAATAATAATTAGCTAAGAACTTTCTGGTAACCTTAGCAACAAAATTTTGACATCAGGCAGGGATTCGGTCCAAATTACGGCAAAGGCTTATTTATCCAGAATAATAAGCATGTCAGAACTACCTACATGCGAGCAATCAACAGGCGGGTTGGGACGATGTGCCTGTTCACGATATCCACTACAACCTTGGGGGTGGTTTATTCTCAGAGTCAATTTTAGTCAAATCTCGTGGTACCAGGGAAATTGGCTCATGAGATAATGACTAAAGATTATCCACCAAAACAGTCTTTCCCATGCCTCCCATCGACTTTTCGCTGACCTCAGCTGGCTACCAAATAAACGCCTACGCCAATATTTACACTCGACGGAGGAAACAAAAATAGTGGTACAAAAATAAAAGAAGCAGAACATGGAACTGGATGTGATAGTGATCAGGATAGACAATATAGATAGGTAGGATAATGCAAGCTATGAACATAACCTCATAAGGGGGGAGACTTCTTATTATGTTAAGGGGTTTTAACGTTGAAAATCATCATGCAGTCCACGACTATAAATCCGGGGGTATAGATGAAACTTTAAGTAATAAATGGCCAAACGGTGCAATGATACATTGTCCGAGCCGGTACCTCGATGAGAACGGATGGCTTGTTCACTTAGCTCACTAGTGACAGAGGATGACTATTACGAATGTTAAAGAGTTACTAAGGAAATAACAACCACTCAGTCATTGAGGTTGTAGAGCGCATTGTTTCAGATAACTACCGAATTGAACATAAGTACAGGATTTGTAGTCACGTGTGTGCTAACAGCGTGGCCTACTTGATAGCCCCAATTATTCTAAATTCTACATTCCTACAGCTATTGTCTGGCAAGGCACAAAAAAACACACACACCTGCATTCATATATCCACTTACTCTTATATCATTTTTCTCCATTTATTACAGCATTTTTGTTTGGACATCGCGCTCGCGATGGCCAAATCGCAACATCCACCTCCCTTGGCCCAGCGCGTCGCTGATGAACTCGACCTTGTCCAACGTGTGGCAAAGAGTAGAGCTACCTGGGTTCAAAACTTTCACAACAAGTTCTGGTCAGCCGTTGAAGAGGCTGATCCTCTCATCAAAACCTTCGTGCGCGAGCAAATGGACGCGTTTCTACTTGCGGTTGCCTCCGGGCACCCTATGCGACACGATAATCCAAGACAACCCAAGACGGCAAGCCCCCTTCCCAAGCCCAGCCAAATTCTACCATCACGACCTCCCGTCCCCATCTCAAAGCAACCTCAAAGCTGGGCAGCGACCGCCGCCGCCCCTCCTGCCACCAATCCCCCTACTCATGCGTCGTCCTCGGCCCCTCCCAACGCAAAACACCGTCCTTTTTACACGCCAGCTCCTAAACAGGCTGCATCCACTACTGGCCTCAAAGCCATCTTTCGTCTCTCGGAGGATGCTCCACTTCTCAGAGCAGACGCAACTTCAGTCAAGGCTGCTTTCATTCGCATTGTTCCTGGGCTCAAGGACGGCATAGTCTCCGTTTCTCGCAGCTCAAATGGATTCATCATCTCGTTTTCGTCCG